AAAAATTGCATTAAATCGCAATATAAAGAAAAAAAATTGCAATTAGATTATTTTCCAAAATCGTTCAGCCCTATACTATATTGATTAGTCTTTTTAGTTAAATGAATCAGACTCACCTTAGATATAATCAATTTATTATAGTTGCGTTGTACCTACCTTTCTAAAAACAAGAAAACACAAGGCGACTTATTTGAATTCTTTCAATTACTTTTTTATGTTTTTTCCTGTTGTTTTCAGGAATGTATAACTTATAATTTATCATGTATAATTTGCAACCTTCATTGTATACATTTGCAGCAAAATGCCGGATGAATCTGAGGCTTAGAGTCGTCATCCAAAACTCATTGGCAACAAGCTCCTATCCTCCCAACGATTTTTTCCTTTTTTTTGGAAGAGAATGTTTATTTAATATATAAAGATGTGCATTAGCTAATGTTTTGAAGTCAAATTCTGAGCTGCAAACCATTTAACCTCATGTTTTAGCCACATGACTGTCAAAAGGCCCTTGTCCATCCCAGCTTTAACTGGAGCCAGCTCAAACCCCAGTCGGGTGCAGCTGATGGGCGTTTACACTGAGCCAGGTCCTTTTTGCTGTCAAAAAGGAGTTCATTTCCCGCTTATTGGCCAAATAAACTCAACTGTCTATATAATTGGATTTATTAGACCATTTGAGACATTTTTGTGAATCAGCATCATATAAATGACAATGGATTTGCCAGATAAGTAACTTTACTTTTAGTGATATCATTAACCGGAAAAGACACACAAATATCATGTTTTTATTTCATTTTTTTTGGTTATTCTGTAGATTTCAGACATCATACTGTAGAAAATCCACACTTCATTACCCAGATGTGTTTTTATTGTCAGGCCTATACAGTACTTGCCATTAAAAGAAAACATACTACTGCATAGTACCATTAAAGTCTGTAAGGCTTTAAGACGTCCCTCTTCATGGCTCTGTAATAGATTCATCTCATGCAATGGTAAGTGACTCTTTGAAGATTTTCCATTTCAAAAATGTCATGCAGAAAATTCTATTAAAAACAAATGCGAAGCCTAGTGAGTTTGCCATTGGCGTTAAATGATGTTATAGATTGAGAACACCTATGCAAGAAAAAAAAAGGCTTACAACTCACAGAGGAGATGACATCACAGATCTAGGCAATGTGTGTTACTGCCTCATAAGTAAAGCAAGCTGACTTGTATCATTTTGGGAAGTTTATGCTTTTTTGAACATAGTTTAGGCTTAGGATGAATGGAGCTGAGGATATTACGCCTCAGTGTTCTCAAACACCTCCACACAATTTCTGATAAGATCTTATCTGATAAAGCTGCAGAGTTTTGTCCAACATTATATCATTATTCTTTTTTAAACATGCTCTGTTTGGTCCTGGCTGGGGAATCAAACCATGAGACAATCCTGGCCTGACACCAGCATGATTTAAGACTGCTGAGCATTAGATGAATGACCTCCTTCAATGTGTGTGTGAGTTCAGCTCATCTCTCCAACCCAAAGCAGAGATTTCACTCTGGCACCGAACCAACTGAAGAGGGATGCAGGTCTGTGACTTTTCTGCATTTGTAAACACCTACACATGAAGATGGGTGTATGTCCAGCTTCCTGTCTGTGTTTTTTTGGACTGCCTGATTGTATTCTACAGAGTGTAGCTTAACCATTTACTGTGAGTGAAAATGAGAACAAGAGCAGAAGAGGAGAGGTGTTACTGAGTTTCTTACAGCTCCAAAGGGAGATATAATATCTCCCATAAAGTGACACAAACTGAGCATAAGTGTCTGCATTTTGCATCTCGTGACAGGATATCAAACTTTTCTGGCAGAAGAAGGAAAACATGCAGGATTCATCACTCTGAGTAGGACACTTGGAATAGCTCTCCAAGGAGAAAAACTATGTGTTTAGTTTGTTTTATTACCTTTACTGGAGATGTAGTGTTTGCTGGGTGTGGTGAAGCCTCTGCTGCCATGACTGTTGATGGCTGCAACCCTGAACTGATACCAACGTTGAGGCCGCAGGTCGGACAAAACCGCGTCTTCAGACAGGGTCTGAAATCACATCACATGAGGAAAAATGGTCAGACAGTGCAGTTTGGTGCAAATCTTTGCATTTTGAGAGTAATGAACAGAAGTGTTGCCATGGTTATCACATAGAACTAAGCATTAGATGGCTACTCGTATCAAAATTTTAAATGATTGTACATTGCATATAAATATATATATATATATTTTTTTTTTTTTTGTGTGTGTGTGTGTGTGGCCATGTCTTTAATACCTGGTGGGGACAATTTCCTAGGAATATGCTACATTTTGGGGACTCATAGGTACTTGTGGGGACCAACAACTGGTCCCCATAAGGAAAGTTTCTCTTCTTGGGGTGGGGGTTAGGTTTAGGACTAAGGTGTGAATTGAGTTTAGGTTAGGTTTAGGGATAGGTATGTGTCGGTAATGGTTAGGGTTAGGGCAAGAGTCACGGTTAGGCCATATAAATTAGTGGGAAATGAATGGAAGTCAATGGAAGGCCCCCACAAGGATATTGTGACACAACATGTGTGTGTGTGTGTAAAGTGAAAAAGGTCAGTGATTAACAGTGTAAACATAACTTCCCAATACATGAGAAAATGTGAAGATTAAATACTCAGGTAGGACAGATTACAGATTTTAATCAAATTTTTGACTTTCTCTTTCCTCATGTTCTGCTGGTCATTTGTGTTTTTTAATCCGTTTGAAATAAACTAACTAAAATCACATAAATCAGTTCAGTTAAAATAATGTTTCTAATAAGATTTTCTTCTTATTATCATGTTTGATAAACAGACATAAGCAAAACTACAGATTTAAAATCCTCATAATATTAGCTGGAAATATTCAATTCAATTTAGTTTATTTCTATAGCGCCAATTAACAACACGTGTCATCTCAAGACAACTTACAATTCACCAGAACAAACAGTCAAATTGATTCAAAGTCATTGACTTATTGACTCTAATGCAATCCCTCAAACTAGGCATGCTTGTAGTGACAGTAAAGAGGAAAAACTCCCTTTTAACAGGAAGAAACCTCCAGCAGAACCAGGCTCAGTGTGAGCGGCCATCTGCTGAGGCCCACTGGGGTTTAAGGAGACAGAAGCAGAGATACAGAAAGCAACTGTAAAAGGCAGCGCCGTCCAGGAAACACACAGCTAGGCAGAAGAGCTCCAAGCCAACTCCAATGTCAGAGGATGAAGTGATATGGTCTGCTGAATTTGTCAATCTTGCAAACCATGATTATTAGACAGCTGACTGACAGGGTGCAGCAATAAGATGGGGAGGGGCACCGCTCCTTCACTATATGATTAACACAGCTGGAGAAAAGTCCAATCCACCTCTTTTACCTGTGTCAACACATCTCCTAATAAATCTTCCCTAAAGGCTGAACATAAAACCATTAATGAAAGATTTAAGGAACTGCTCCTTTACACACTGAATGTATTTTCATTTTCTAAACTGGCAGCAATATAATTGTGTTAATATCTAAAAAACTGAACCATCTGGTCACATTATGGTTATTACTGCCTGTGACTCACATGCTCTGCCTTCCTGACAGTTTGAATGTAATCACAGTTTACAAACTGCTCATCCATACTCCATCGCACACAAACACTGACACGCGCTGTCATCTATTTAAGTCCATAATGTGCATTCAGTCATTCAGAATCAGCCGGTGGAAAGACTGTGGCTGCCTGCGGTTTCCTTTTAAGTTCTGCTTATTTACCTAACCTCACACAGACGCACACACGGACACGCACTTCAAGCACACACTCGTTTCTACTAATGTGCACACACACACTTTGGTTTCCCCTGGCAGAGTGGGAGAGACTGGCTGGGGCGGAGAGGTTTAGACAGCAAGGCAGCAGACTGATGAGCTGGAAACAGAGTCTAGCATCCATCTCCATAGTTGGGATGTTTCATCATTTAAGGCAAATTGAGAGTTATGAAGCAAAGATATTTTAAAAATGCTGTGGTGTGTTAAAGGCACAGGAACTGTTTTTAATGCTTAGACCGAGTGCTGGTAGGCACACCTTTTTTCAGTCCTCAGCTTAATTGTTAATCCCCATAAACACCAGTCACACTCATTCATTGGGAACAATTTATTAAAATGACAAATATTATGTCTCTAAATCACACATTATATCTTCATTTACTTTTTACACCATCATTTATCTCTGTAGTGATTTTGCAAAATATGACAGCTTTAATACAGCTGTGCTAATATGCAGCTATGTTCGTTACTCACCATGACGACGGTTGCCCACGGAGAGGCGTGGTCCTCACTGGGGTGAATGCCGATGTTCCAGCGCGACTGAAGCATGTAAATGACAGGCTCCATGCTGACGTTGAACTTTGACAGCCATGCCACCTTCACACGACCCTCAGGATCTTCCAAAAAACTCATCTCCCTGCGAGGTTTCAAGGGAACACCTGGAAGACCAAGACAGAAAAAATGAAAGATTGATTTGAAGATGCCAGGGAGTGTTGATGGAATCAAATTTGGGTTTTAGTGAGTGAAATGCATTTCAAAATGAACCACGTTTTAATAAATCAAGAGGTGAAGCAGCTCACCCAACCAATTTAATATTTATTTTTACATATCGCCTGTTCTGAGATTTCAGAAGAAAAGGGTTTGGCTTTAAAACTCTGACTCTGAACAACTGGTAAAACAAGAAATATTATGCAATAAGGCCCTCTTTGCAATGCAGCTACATAAACACCATGTTGGGTGCTGGAGTCTGCTTCTCCCTCTAGGTGGAGCCGGTCGGGGGCTGTGGACCCTCTAAGGCAGGCATCCCCAAAGTCGGTCCTCGAGGGCCGCTGTCCTGCAGGTTTTAGAGGTTTCCCTGCTCCAACACAGCTGATTTTAATTGAAATCTGATTGACAGGCTGTTGCTCAACTTCAATCATCATTAGCAGCTGTGCTAAAGCAGAGAAATCTCCAAAACCTGCAGGACAGCAGCCCTCGAGGACCGACTTTGGGGATGCCTGCTCTAAGGGCTGTGGTCGGCTTGGAGGGCAGTTTCTGTGCACCTGCATGTAATCAGCCTCATCTTCTACAGTAAAAGAGGAGCGGTCGGGCCGGATTCCAGCACTTGAGTGTTAATCACTACCGGTTACCTCTCGTGCTTTTGAGAAAAGCTTCGTCCAAGGAGATCACTTCCTGAACCGAACCCAAACAAAACCTCCGCTGAAGAAACTCCTGGAAAAAAACCCTTATTCGGCAAGGTACCGCTTCACTGTCTCCGCCAACAACCTGGAAAGACCTGCCTGCCCTCCAACGACTCACCCACCTGCAATCACTGAAAAAACCTCCAGCTCCCAACTCCAGTCCTCCCTGCCGGAAACACCCCGCTTATTCAGTAAGCTCCTGTCTGAATCAGGTTCCTAGCTTGAGTCTAAAGCATCCGCTAACCTCTACCCTTCTGTGCCTTCAGCTCCAGTGGCTCCTCCATAACAATATGAGTTCCTTCTCTGTTAGTTGCTATCCGTTTCAAAGGGAAAATAAAACCTTTTGACCTGAAATTCATCCTTCTCCTTGTGTGTTCTCTGCATGTGGGTCAAACGCCTTCCTTCACACATGACCCACCATTGCAGAAATATCTGACAATCAAAACTTTTTATAACTGGTAAAATTAGAAAAAGAAGTTACTCAATAGTTTTTTTTTTTCTTTTGCTGGAAGAGTTAAATCCTAACCACACCTTCTGTAGTTTATCTTTACTTTTATATAGGCATATAGGTTTCCTCCAAACTTCAGCTCCTTAGCAATGGAATCCCAGTTCTACCGCACTGGTGTCATAACTCCACAAGAATATATAGAATTTTTTTAATCAGCAGCATTTTCAACTTCTTTCAGTACACTAGCTACTTGTTTAGCTACTACTAATCTATATCCACCGAAGCAGACCTTTCAAATCCCTGCTCTTTGATATGGACTGGACTCCAGTTGTAACTATTTACCACTTTTTTTATAAACAAAACTTGGGCATATGGTGGGAGTTGTAAAATCTCTGTGCAAAAAGAACGAACCTTTTAATATCAATGCATAATAATTGCAAATTTTTTGCTGAAACTATAGCTGTGCAATTAGGGCTACAAAATAAAAATTAACTGAACTCTGATCCAGAGCTGCACAGCATTCTGGGGGATGTAGGCAGAGGAAAGGATTTAGCCTCTGAACGACACCATTCAATTTTATTCAACTTGAAAAGAGTTTGATAATCAAAAAGGGAAATTTAAAGTCACTCCCAATCCAAGCAAGATTGGTCATAGAACTGTTATAGGTTATGTTAAAATCGGGTAAGGGTCACAATTTTAATAGAGCCTTGTTTCCCTAGATCCCTATTTCAAATTAATGATGTCAACTGATATGAAACTGATCCTCCACAGGAAGTATATGCACTTTTTTGCCCTTTTGACCAATGAGGTGGTGTTTACAGTCCAGGTGAGGTTGTCTGTGATATGCACCCCCAGGAATCTTCTAATGCGGAGGTCTTCAACAGGGGGTCCGCGACCCCTAGGGGGTCCACAGAGGTACTGCATGGGGGTCGCGAAAGTTTTGCTTGATTAGACTTTTGTTTTTATATTCCCCCCTGCAAGTTTTTCCACAAATTGAAATGTCTTTAAATACACATTGAGATGAATTCAACCTACTGTAGTAAACAGATAAATGAAGATAGAAGATGTCTTTCAGCCATCAATGCTCACATTCAGCGACACACAGGAGCTCTTTCAAGCTGGACACCATTTCATTCACAACACCTGTCCCATCAATCAGAAATAATTTAATAATCCCAGGGAGAAATTACTTTCATTACATCACTCCATCTGTAATAGAGTGACTATAGGACCAGGTCGATATAATGCAATTTCATACAATATATATAGTTAGGGGGTCCCCGCTCCATCTCGCCATCAGTTTAAGGGTCCTTGGTCTGGAAAACATTGAAGACCCCTGTTCTACTGCTGAGCATTTTATTAGCAGTGGAGCATGGTAAGGCCGGTTCTTCCTGAAGTCGACGATGATCTCCTTAGTTTTCTCCACGTTAGAATCCGGCTGTTGTCTCTGCACCAGTCCTCCAGGTGCTCCACCTCCTCTCTGTAGTTCTGGTCATTGTCGTCTCCAATGAGGCCCACCACTGTGGTGTCGTCTGCAAACTTCACGATGTGATATTCTGTTCTATTAAATTCTATTGTGTTCTATTCTAATTTATTCTATTCCTGTGCCAAATTCTAAAAAAAATGTCCCAAATTAAAAACAGGAGGAGTTAAGAGGAACTGTATTTACCTTTATATAAATTGGCTGGTGCTTGACAAGTATGCCCGCAGCCATTAAAGCAGCACTTTCTAGAGGTCGGGCAGTCCTGGTCAAATGAACAGCTCTCAACACAGGCTGCAGCGAATCCTGTGGCTCGCTGCGGTGGGGGGCAATCTCCCTGGCGGGACGACCTCAGAGAGGCCAGAAACTCCCTGCTTGTCACACACTCTGTCTGTTTCTGAAAGAAAGAAGCAACCCAGGGGGCTATTAGAGGTCTTATTATTACTGAGGTTTACACACAGTGGTTACAATATGCAATTTTTTACACATAAAACAAACTAACTCATGCCAGGTAAGTTTTTTTTTTCTAGCAGAGACTTTAAAATCTGCCCTCAGATTTCCCCCCTTGGAAGTAGAAGTTTGAGAGCATGTATATTTGTGTGTGTGTGTTCCCTTCACATGGCTGCAGTTTAGCCAGATGTAAACACAAGCTTTACCTAATGGCTCTGAATTACCCTGTGGTCCTAACCAGCCAGCCAGTCAGTAACACGCTTCAGCTATTGTGATGAAAAACTAATCTATCCAAAAGCCACAGAAACTGGCTCTACAAATAATCATTTAGGGCCACACACACACACAAACACACATGCAACCTACAGATGAAACAGTTGCTCTCCCCACTGTATGCTTAGAAAAGATCTAAATTTTTAGATTTGTGAAACAAACACAGCAGGAAGGTAAGACGTCCAGGTTTTAGGTACCAAAACATCTCGGCGGTACTAAGAAGTGCAACTTTTTTGCGGACCACCAAGGTTGTTGTGACTTTTAGAAAGACACAATGTTTTTATCTTACCTCGCATAACTTTGGAGAAATCACCTTCCTAGTTTCCCATAATTCTTTGCATGGATGAAGGCACTGTTCATGAAAAAATAAGAAAAAAAAAACATTTCGGATCAATTAGGCTTAACAGTGCTTTACAAAAGTATGTCCACAACCTGATGTTTACCACATTTTATAATAACAACCACACTATATTTTACAAGAATTATTTTTAACACTAACCCAAAGAAATCTATAATTATAAAGTGAAAGGAAAAGGAAAACAGTTTTCTTTTTTTATATATTCAAAATTAAATGAGCAGCTAGTGGAGTTTGAGTTTAACCCCCAGACTAAATACTTTGTAGAATCACCTTTGGCTTGCATGTCTGTCAACTTTTTACATCTAGCACAAGAAATTACTCTTCAAAATATCTTGGATTTAAAAATGCTGGACAGAATCAGACCAATTTCATCAGCTTCCAAGGTATGGGTTACATAAAAAAATATAGACAAAATGTTTGCTTCTGAAATAAAAAAGCAATCCTGTTATTTTCTTTTTCTTTTCTAATCAATTTTCAGTCATTAAATTGAATCCTTGACCATGATGAAAATTAAAATAAAACTTAACCTGACAGCATGCTGTCATATGATCTTTAGATTACTTAGTTGATAAAATGTGTCTCATTAATGCTGTAAAGCTCTAAGGGTTTTGTTCAAGTTCCAGAGTTCATGAATAAATAACTGATCTAAAGATTAATAATAACTATATATCTATATCATTAAGCATGAATGGAAGGTAAATGTATAAAATTGACATATTGTTTAGTAATTTGTCATATAAAATCAGCTATTATCATAATCAAACTGATATAGCAAAAGATCTAACGAAATGACAGCAGCAGATGGGGAGCTGAGGAGGTCCTTGAATCCCATCAGGACAATTTAGCTAGTTTTAGTAGTTCCTACGTTGTATTTATTTATTTTGTAAGAAGATTACTTTCAATGTAAGTACTAAACTATGTATCAGGGGTTATGTTGAAATTAGTAAAAAGACCACAGAGTAAGCTGTCTAAAAACAATAGAAACTGTATCACTTTAAGTGAACTTTACATATTTTGAATATCTGCTGATTTTGTAATGAAAAAATGTAGGAAAGAAAGAATATTCCTCAATCTCAGACATTAATTTGGTTTATATTGCGGTATGTTTTAAAACTAAAACATGTGGAAAGTCCTGCCCTGACTGGAAATATGGTTGGGTTTTGTTCAATGTACAGAATACAGGAACAGCAATCAGTGGATGGATAGATATATAATATTATAACCAATGGTCAATTTTGCTGTGAGATATTGTTAATCAGGCTTTGCTCATCATACCTAATATAAAAACATGTTCAAATCACCATCTATCCGAGATGAACTTTAATTTAGCAGCCCAGATTTTGATGCAAATCCACTCTTATCTGACACTTTGATTTTGATAAAGAATGCTGAATGCTGCAGGTAGTGGAACCTGAATGTCAGCGGATTTTTTGGGGGGGATATCTTTGATGTCATTCACTTCAAGATTGAGTAATTGAGTTCAGCCTATAGAGAGCTACCTCTGCGACCTTATTGCTGTTGTAAAATGCTGGCGTAAAGCCAAGTATTATGAAGTGTATGAGGTGTCGACTGCTGGGCCACTGACTGGACCGGACCTCAGCAGACAACCAGCCCGTCATTAGCTGGAGGAGGGGGGCTGGGGGCCGGCAAGACAGGGCGGGGGGAAGCACTGGGCCGCCGGTGTCCAGGCTACCGTCAGCGGGTCGGGTTTGGTCTCTCCGTCCCCCGCTGGCTCCCTGCCCCCGTCCGCCGGGGTTCCCAGACCAGCCCCTGATCTGAAAGCTCGGTTCGACTGCCCGGTGTGTTTGGACTGCGTGCTGGATGATTTTGGAATTCCCCCCAAACATTTTTTTTTAGGTATGACAAGTCCGGGAAAAAGGGGACATTTGGTCACCCTACCATATTAACAATTTCAATGTTTCAGTGAGTGAGTGCTTGTTGCTATGATGCATCTTTGCTCAGCAGCTTTGCTCATTGTAAACTAACCAATCAGTGCATAGCTCATCTAAATATTCATGAGCATACCATAAAAGGAAGAAAACCTGTCATTTCATTCTAGGGGTTTTAACCAGGCTTGCATTAGGGCTCATAGAACAGCTAATATGCCATTTTCAACAACAACTGTTGCACCCCTATTCAGAGACCTTAAGGACCAGCACCAAATACCCTATAGAATCTATTGGCAATATGCGACCTGTGTCGGATCTTTTCATGACAGTCTGAACAACGCAGATTACATTTTTTCCAATGCAATCCAGGCTACTTGGCTATGTGGTGTTAAATCTGATACGTATCTGATCTTTTCGAATGCGACTCTCTGAACCGACCTAAACGTCATTAATACTCGACAAGGGTCACTATTCTGCACCTTGCTACACAGAAAAACAACAATCATGGTGGACAATATTGCAGAGAGCAGCCTTATTTTTCAATCTTTGTGAAAAGATTGTGTTGTTAATGCAATGGCTAAGGCTGGGAATGAAATTAAAGGTTGCAAAATGCGCTCCAGCACTACCATTCATGTTTGCTTCCATAAGCACAGAGCATGCCTGCTTGTGACATCATTGCGTCTTCTACTGCGCATTCAGCACACTTAAGTTGTGTGAATGCTGTTCACACAGAAGTCACATATATTTTGAAATCTGAACAACCAGGCAAAAGAATTGGATTTCACAAAAAAAATCAGAATTTAGCATCAAGACCTTCAGTGTGAACGTAGCCTTTGTCTCCTTTTTGTCTTCCATTTTATAGTTGCACCACTGAACATTGCATTGCTCACTTAGTTTCACATATTTCTTTACATGACAAGGAACTGAAAAAGGTTGCTTTTGTTTTGCACACCTGCATACTGAACCGACAAAGCTATTTTTGGGACAAATTGATGTAATGCTAAACCCCAACAGATCCTTCACAGTTGCTTTTGAGATAACTATAAAGTTACTTTTTATACATCTTTGTTAATAAATATTAGTGTTGCACCGATGCCATTTTTTGGCCCCAATACAGATATCCGATACCGGGCTGTGCAGCATTGGCTGATACCGATACCATCTGTTTGAAATTGATGTGTGCATGTATATATGAAGAACTGCATACACCTTGGATGTAAAATAATTGCCATCATGGCTTTGTCAAGCTGCTGCCTACCTTTGTGAAGCAGGAAAAAGACTAATATGTTAAAATGAGAAAGTTATATCCCGTTGAAGGCAGTTGCGCCTCGGGACATTCCTTCCGGTTCTTTTCCTGGGAGCAAGTTACTTACTACTCTTAACTCAAACTGGGTAAAACCAAATAAAAAAGGAGTATAAAAACAGGAGTAAAAAAGTAACAGAGTTTATTCCAGATCAGTTCGTTACAGGACAGAGAAAAATGCTTGGAGCTTGCACAGCTGTGGGCTCAAGAATCACGTCCGCGAGCGTCCGGCAAAGATTGAGCCCCGAACAAGGTCCTCTTCTCCTTCTTATAGCTCATGAGTCTATGTGTTGGATAATGTGGATGTTTAGCTGTCCGTATCAGAAACTGACACGCCATCCATGACCTGACCTGTATGCATCTTGCCTCTAATGCAGAAGATTACAGATACATCTCCTCTATCATTCCGGCTCCAAGATGTGCCCATATCCTGTGTATCTTTAAAAGACAAGAAGGCTGTCCTATTTAGATGACCTACTTACACAAAGTAACATCCACAATGTGAAGGAAGGCCATCTACTCTTTCTATCTGGCTAACAAAGTAACAATGCACATGATGTATAAAAGAATAAACCTAACAAATACAAAGTGAATCCAGTAGAACTTTATATTGCCTACCTGGAATGAATGACAATAGTTGAATAAACTTTTGTCTCTCAAAATGGTATTGGTGCCCTATTTGTTGGAACTCACCGATACCGATACCACCATTTTATTGCTGGAGAACCATGGTCAATTCATCCTATGGTACAAAACATATAACTATAATCTGTAAGATAATACAGCCAATAAGTTGGAATTTAGGACCTCCAATTAGTAAATTTAACCTGAAACGTTCCTGGAAGTTGTATTTACAAGTCGGGGAAAGCACCAATTTCCACATTCATGATGACAGCTGCATCAACAATAGTTAAACTTCCTCACTGTGACACGTTGTAATTTTTTGTGTTTATAAAACAAGTTGTCTTGACTTTGTTTATGTGAACAAAAAATAACAAGTTGAAAATGTTTTGCTTTCATTATGTTTGTAACAGTGGCCATAGTTTTCATATTGTACGTCCACAAGCGGGAAACTGGAACGCCGTCCCCTCCAAGATCCCGGCACTCCAATTTCCTAGGTCTGAGCTCCAAAGTAAAGGAATACAGCATAACTATCCATGCTGCCCCATAATCATTACCAATGCTAAAGGTCAAATAATTGGTGTCATTTATGAGTCAATTTAGGATTTACATCCTTAGTATTATAAATGTTCTTTAAAATTTAGGCAAAGACATTTAAATCTAAGATTTTCATTTTGTTGATACTAATCTATCATAGGAATGGTTTAATCTGCCCTATGTTGATAAAAAATGTTAAAGTGACAGTGTGTAAGAAATTTGACCTTTTATAAGCAAAAATCAAGCATTGATTTCATGAATGCATATCTAATAATGGGGCTGCTCAGGGGCACAGTGGGTAGCACTGCTGCCTTGCAGCTAGAAGGTCTCTCTGCATGGAGTTTGCATGTTCTCCCTGAGCATGCATGGGTTCTCTCTGGGTACTATGGCTTCCTCCCACAGTCCAAAAACATAGGCTGTGCTGTTAATTACCTTGTCTTTTTCAAGTTGTTTGACATGCCAAGGACAACAAACTACCCTTTCTGGACTGCCTGGTGAGCATGGAAGGAGATGGAAGCCTAAACATTGAA